ACAAAATGGTTAGGTAGACAATTAATTAATTATGACATATACTAACGATGCAGAGACAAGGGATTTAACTTAAAAAGGCAATCAATCTACATCTTTGGAACCTTTTTTTTTTAAGAAAAAAAAAAAGCTATAGTGGCAATATGAACATAATCCATCAACAAACGAACTCCTACAAATGTTATTAATTATAACCTAGGTACAATCGATTCCCTTAATTTCAAAACTTAAAAAATGATGCTGATACACAAGGGGGAGGAGGATGCTTATAAAATTTGGTTATTAATCTGGGTTCCTACATCCATGGAAGTGCTGATCAATATTTCTATCAACCTTTTTGCGACAACATATGATTTGGATCCTTTTACAAGTTTATTATATTTATTATATTACAAGTAACAATTTTTTCTTTTTAAAAGAAAGATCCGTAAAGCAATTAAATAAATTCTTGACATAAATTAACACGCTTCCTCACATATACAAGTAGGGTTTAAATCCTCATTTTCTCTTCTCACCTTTCTTTCCTATAAAAGTTTTAATTACCAGTCACCTATTCCATAAAAAGAGAAGATTTCCCTTATTAGGACGTAACATTTTTAAAAAATTCTAATTTTAATGGTATAAGAAATTGACCCCGGTGACATTGTGATAACTATTAGAAGGGTGGTTTCATGTTCTGCTCTACCCTTCTTCTTTTGCGGCTCAAAAACTTTATTATAAGAGATTGCTGTTATACCTAACTCTTTTTGTTCCCTAAAAATTATTCTTATCAATGAAAAAGAAAAAAGATAAAATAGTCCAGTAACTGCTTTCAAAAAGACATGGACATTATTGAAAATATACAATACAAATTGAATAAAAAATATTAAGTGCTAGATAATATTCTAGATTTAACTGAATTAAAGTATTGTTTGACCACTAATTGCGTAATTAGAGCAAGATAACTAATCCAACAAGCTAACGTCTCTCTTATTATCTTACTTACCTAAGGCATGCTTCACCCCGGCCGGTGACAACTGGCAACCTCAAAATTCAAACCAATTTCATTGAACTGAAAGGAAGTCGATATCCTGGCCGGAGGCCCATTTAAGCCCAAGTTATAACTTAGAACCTTGGGCAAAGCCCAATCATTTTGGGTTACAACTTGGATTATTTTTTTAAGGATTTTCTAAATCTACTTATGTAATTATTTTTTTTTCTTATTAATTATTAATGAAAATATAAAAATTAATTTTTATTTAAGTAATTGTTTAATTAAAACAGTTCAAATGACACTAATAATAAAATCAATATCAATTTTTATTTTTTAATAATAATTAATATAAAAAAGTAGTATACGATTTAAATAATTTAGTGATCATCTTTTTTAATTGAAAGTAAGAGATCTTGAATTCGAATTACATGATATGTGAATAAGATGGAATAAAGGATAAGAGATGATTGTATCTTATTGTGTAATCAAAATAAAATATATA